CCTTCATCAAGCGCAATGCGGAGGGCACGATCATCAGGATCATGTGCCTGCACGTGGATGACTTCCTCATGGGCATCAAGCAGGACGACCCGGAGGGCGCCAAGATCATGAAGGACCTGCAGAAGGAGATCGACTTTGGCGAGGTCAAGTACGCGAGGAAAGAGCAGGCGACGTTCTGTGGCCGAGGCTACAAGCAGGACAAGGACGGCAGCACCAACTTCACAATGGAGGCCTACGTGAAGTCTATGCAGGCTGCACGTATCTCCAGAGAGCGCAGCAAGGCACCAGATAGCGCCTTGACCCATGCAGAGCATCGTGGACTACGAATGGTAGTTGGACAACTACAATGGGCTGCGCGAATGATATGCTTCGAGGAGGCCTTCGAGGCATCCCGACTGGCATCTACGCTGGGAGCTCCGACGGTGAAGGACCTACAGGACGGCAACGCGGCCATCAGGCGGATACAGAAGCGGGACGACTTGCTGATCAGGTTCTCAGCAGGCCTGAACCTGTGGGAGACCATGGTGATCAATGTCACCGACAGTGCATTCGACAATCTGCCGAAGCACAGATCGCAACGCGAACACTTCATCATACTTGGCAACCAGAAGATCAACGAGGACCACAGTAATAAGTACAAGGTACACTGCATTGGGTGGCAGTCTTCCAAGATTCAACGAGTGGTGCGATCTACTCTATCGGCGGAGGCCTACTCATGTGCGGATTCGGTGGACATGTTGATATGGACAAGGTCGACCCTGGCGGAGATCCTGTACCCGGAGATGGACATGACCGAGATTGTGCACGACACCTGCCCGGTGAAATGCATTTCGGTGACCGACTGCAAGAGCCTACACGACACGATCACAAAGGAGAAGATTTCTATGATGGACAGGAGGCTTTCTTTGGAAGCGGCTATATTGCGGCAGTCACTCAAAGAGGTCAGCATCAAGTGGGTCAAGAGCGAGCAGATGCTAGCGGACTGCTTGACGAAAGTACTTCCAGGAGGCTACGCGAGGAAGACAGTTACATCAAACCTGTGGACCCTTGGGCCTGATGACAGGGCACCATCAATACATGGACGAAAGCTTGTTGGACCAGAGAAGGTGGCAGCCAACAAGGAGGTAGACGAGCTGAACATGAAGATGGCCAAGTACGTCAAGCAGGAGCTGTACGATGACATCGGGAAGGACGACGAGGAGATCTCTACGTGGCCGGTGGAGACGTACAACTACGTGGACGAGTGCTTCTACGACGACAAGGACGAGGTTCAAGAGGAGGACTACGTCGAGGCATTCTACACGGAAGAGCTAACGGACAACTACCTGATGGAGAGGAGTGGCGCGCAGAGAACCATCCAGATACCTGACCAAGCTGTAGTTCTGTTTCAACTTTGTGCACTTGCAGTGTATGGAGTTTGTCTTTCGATGTCTCCTACGGTGGTGACAGTAGTCTCTATCATCGCGGGTATCATCATATTCATTTACGTAATGCAGCCTAAGCAGAACGACAGCGAAGACACCGCTGAGCCGATGGAGGTGGATAGTTCAAGCCGGAGTTGCCCGTGAAGCCGGTCAAGGTCAAGTCCAGGACGGCGAAGGCTACGCCGAAGGCTACGACGACAACACTCGCAGTACGAGCAGATCCAGAGACCTACGATGATGAGATCATGGGAGATGGACCAATCATGCTGGGAGATAGTGCTCTACTGAGACAGTGGCTGGAGACCATGGGACCGACGATAATCAGAAGTGGCAAGTACGAGGGCGACAGCTACGAGACGATCTATACGAAGGACAGGCACTACGCAAATTGCCTAGGACATTGTCTCAAGCTGGACGCAGACGAGAGCAGGAGTTACAATCTCGACCCGAGTATCAAGGTTTACATTGCATACAGCATCATCAAGTCAGCAGTGCGTGTACGCTGAGGATGATGAGTGATTTGGTTATCATTTCAGATAATGAGCGATGTTTGGTCACCATCTACAGATGAGGAGTGAAAGCACCCCCTCAAGAGCTCAGGTAAAGATTTTATGTATTTATATATGTTGCTTGGTGCGCAGGCCTCAGATAAAGATCTTACCTGTTGATCAGTGCGTGGATTTCTTCTATCTTAGTATATGTTGCTCGGTGCGTTGTTTTCTTTTATTGATATCTATTGTTTGATACACGGACGGTAGTTTGACCGTTCGAGCAGAGATTATGGGATTTCATTTCTTTGATATCTGTTGCTTGGTGCACGGACGATAGTTTGATCGTTCGAGCCAATAATATTATACAATATTCTGGAGGCTTGCTGCAGAATTTGCCAAGGCATTCTTTAGCAACGTTTCCTTTTCCTGTGTGAAAGTTATATTAGCAAGGATGTGAGTTATAGGATGATGTTTAGAATTATGTATGTTATTGCTCTCGCTCGCTCATGCTTGCACTCTCTTGTTCACTATTGCCGTTTTTGGCTTGGACCCGCAAGCTGTGGCGGGAGGGTGGACACATTCTACGACTGTCTAGCTTGACATCGGAATAAGATCAGATCACACTCTATCTATTTCTTCTTGCATCAAGAGGTTGTGGGTGGAGAAAGAAGGATCAATATTTACATATACCATGATGGCCCCCACAACACGCGTGACGATGCAAGAGCGTACCAGGAGCCCCGTGACACAGTCGGCAGTGGGGATTGGCGGGGTACTGCGAAAGCCATTGCCGATGTTGGGGCCACTGCCCTCCGCACACAACACTCCTGAGGTAGGCCTTTTCATCAGCTCTCAGGGCTCTGGAGGCAAGCAGGGACTGAAGGGCCTGGAGATTGCACCAAAGAGAGAGCTCAGAAATTCCCTTGGTAGTCTTCTTAGTAATAATATGATTCTTAGTTTGAATATGATATTATATGTATTCATCGTACTCTGCTTCCTATTAGTATTGATATTACGCTTATGCGTATTGGTCTTCTTTGTGTGATTATGAATGTGATGCTTCGTATTATTATGTGTATGGTGTTTATTACTCTTATTATACATGTTACTATGGTCATTATTGTTAGTAGTGGTAACAGTAACAGTGTTGATATTAACAGTACTCTAATTAGTACCAGTTGTACGGTTATTACTCGCATTGCTATTCCTAGCATTCGTCTTTTCATAGCCTCCGTATTAGTCCTCCTTGGGTTTGTCTGATTCTTCATCATTAGTCTTATTACTAGCACTATCCGACAATAGTTTTCTTATTATGTATAGTTGAATTACTCTTCTTTTTTCTGATTATTCATATTATTATGTTGACTATTACTTTTACGATTGATCATATGGTTGTTCGTCTTAGTATGTTTCTTCGTATTAGTTTGATTCAGATTATATGTTCTATATTCCTCTTATTACTCATCCTCCTCTTCCTCCTCCTCCTCGTCCGCATCCTCCTCCTCCTCCTCCTCCTCCTCCTCCTCCTCATCCCCCCCTCCCGACGAGGACGACGATGACGACGACGACGACGACGACGACCATGACGACGACGACGAAGACGACGACGACGACGACGACGACGACGACGACGACGACGACGGCAACGACGACGACGACGGCGACGACGGCGACGGCGGCGGCGGCGGAAGCGGGACGATGGCGTCGGCGGCGGCGGCAAAAATTGGCCGCGGCTTCCAGCTCCTGGGCTGGTCGAGGCAATTGCGGGCCGCCCCTTCGGGCGCTGCCGGCCGCCGCTTGCGGGCGTCCTCGCACACCGGAGGGCGCGCGCGAGGAGGCCCAGTGCTGGTCCTGCCGCTGCTCCTGCCGCTGCTGCCGCTGCTACCGCTGCTGCCGCTGCTGCTGCTGTTCTTCATCATCATCATCATCATCATCATCATCAGCAGCAGCAGCAGCACCATCATCATCATCATCATCATCATCATCATCATCATCATCATCATCATCATCATCATCATCATCATCATCATCATCATCATCATCATCATCATCATCATCATCGTCATCAGTATCATCATC